CCAGCATTTTATTCCCATCACCATTGGAGAGGACACCATTCTTCTTTCCATGGAATATGTAATAAAATGTACATATGGAAGAAAAAAATCCTTTTTCCATCCAAGCTAGTTTTAAAAGAAAAAAAAAGACTTGTAATGTACACTTAGTAAGAAATTACTAGTAAAACTTCATGAGATGCATAGGAAGCATGCTGATTACTAATGCTTAGATAAGTGCAGGTACCATACTCTGCATAAGTTATGATGTGAGGTATGTATTTCACAGCTTAATCATCTTTGGATCTTATAAATTAAGTGTTACACAGTAAAACTATACCAAAGTGTTTCCTGGAGTTCTAAATGCTATTTCAAAATAATTCAATAAGAAAGCATCTAATGGGAGCAAGGGGCAAATGGGACAGGAGCCTTAACAATATTAACAGGTTTGTAGAAGCAGCCACATCCACCCAAAAGCATAATCAAGTAAAGTGATAGCTATGTTATAATCATCAACACCGAAAGCCTCTCTGCATGCTAAGCCTTTGTACTTATGATACAAAACTCTGCACCAGATGTAAAATCTGGCTCCCCTTTTCTCAACTGTACATTTGTGTGTGATTTGTTTTCTGTCCATGTGCAATCCAGCAGATTCGCAAGGAGAAATTGAAACTTTGTGCATCATGAACTGTATTCACTCCTGCAATGTTAGCTTTTTTGTGACTTGCATTTCTCAAAAAAAAAATTGTAAGGCTTTACCTGAAGTGCATTTGAAAATAGACATTGAGATGTTAGTTAGCAAGGGCAGATGAAGTATCACCAAGATATTTGTCTTTATGGCAGTATCTTCCCAATCTAAACCTGAACAATGCCACCCCACCATCTTTCTTGTTACTGTTTGGTATTAAAATAAAGCCTCCATGGTCCACTTCACACCACTTAACTGTCAGGAGTATGAATTACTGTAGCAGGTGGGCTAGTGTGGTTTTAAAAGCAATGTAATACAATCAACTGCACAATATCAGATTTCAAGAAACGCAAAAGACATCTAGAGCAGAGGCTGATCCTTAAGCAATCCTAATATTGGCATTAAAGTGTTCAAGATCCCACAGGGACTTTGACCTCAGGCTTTAATTGAAACTTTAAACAAAATATATTACCTATTTAATACAGCTGAGCTGGACTCTGGCCTTTGTAGCGCAAGTTGCCATGCCAAGCAAATTAATCTGTGTAACCTGAGCATGTACTTTTTAATTTACATCAAAGCAATATGGTATACAGAAAATAAATACCAAGCCAACCTTATACAGCTCGTTGAATAATTATTTTGATTCTAGTTTTAAAGTTTCAATTTTTAGTTGTTTTGGGTTCTCCTAAAGAAAAAAAATGAAAAGGTTTTGTTTCTTGGTACAAAGCCAGAGAAACATATGGTTTCCTTAGCTGAGTTGTTGCACACCTGGCAAAATAAATCACAGCAACAGGAGACCAAAATCTTCCCTGCAACTTTTTCATATGCACAAACTTAGAACATCTGAACCTGGTATTACAGTCCTGTCTTTTGTACCATGAAAAAAAAGCAAAGTCAAATGGATGCCTGCTTCTTGAGCCCCAATACTTTTTTTTCCCATTAAGAGGCAAGTTACAGAGTGTTTTAAAGGATGAGAGTCTGTCAAGAAGACTGACACACCAGAGGAATGAGTCACTGGGCCTGTCAGAGCAAAGGGCCAATAGAAGCAAGTACAGGAAAAAAAGTGTAACACAAACAGGGAAAGCAGGTGGTGCAAAGGCTTAGCACTGCTGGAGTGTTAATGCTACTGCAGTCAGAGTGCTGGAGTTCAAACCTGATTCAGTTTAAACAGTTCATCTCCTGTTTATTCTCTTTCAAGTAGGTCATGTACATCATACAGGAGAAAAAAAACTTTCCCAAAAATGTTCAATTACATGAATGAGTACTTATTAAAAATTAGAGGTAGCACTGTTTTCTTATATGATATGCCAATATGTAGCAATATATGTGCCACTCAACCAAGCAAAGAGATTTCCAGAGACTCGGAATACAATCATGACAGTAACAATCATAGCAGATAATCCTCAAACTGTGACTATTCTTGGATTTCATGATAAGCTGTGAAGACTTTTTCCACATTTAAGGAGATGGGGAAGAAAACTTCCTTCTGCTACTTCCCAAGCAGATGGGGAGTGCTCCCCAGTTTCTCCCTCTTCCTCCCCAGCAATGAGCATACAAGGAGTGGGGATAGCTCGTCAGGTTTATGCAGTTGCAAGCGCACAAGATAGGACTGGCCTATTTCAGTTCCTCTAGTCTCCCTTTTAAAGGCAAGAAGTGGGCAGACAAGTTTATGTAATGCTGTTTATCAAAGAAAGTGTTATAGGGAATGTGTTTATACTTTTGTCTTGAACATGGAAACAGAAATAAACACTCCAGACAGCCCTCTGATACTCAGTGACACCATATGAGCTGCAAAGCGGATGCACTCCTGATAATGGATGCAGTTGCCTTGTTCTCCTGTCATACACAAAGCAAAGAGATGACTGAAAAGGTATCTAGGATTTATCTCACCCAAATCAAGCTACTAAGTCTAAGTCAGTCATCTCAGCTCTTTTTAAAGGAGAAGTATGATTGCAGGGATTATGTGTATAATCTTAAATAGATGTCTAAATCAGAAGGGCTTCATTACTCCCCAGAGGTACAGTTTTCTTTCCACACTATAAAGAAGCACAGCTACCTAGCTCTGTCTTGTCATCTCAGGCAGGAGAGGTTAAATGCATCCATGTAGGCTTTCGTAGACACATCCAGGACAGCTTTGAACAAGTCAGTCTGAGTCCTGTTCATATAGCTGCATTGCATTCTATTCAAGTCACTGCCCAACTTTGTGTAGCCTCTTGAATTGCCTTTGCAGCATAACCTACAAGCAACACTTCAGCAACCACTGTGAAGCAAGTTCTGTCTTCCCTGCAAAAGCTGCCATCACAACAGCAACCAAAATACAAATATGAGCTATGTTAATGCTAAGTTGAAATTCTCAGAGCTCCACAAGGAGCTAAGGTACACTCAGTTGACCGTGTCTTGTTATGCCACCAGGACATCCATGAAGTGCAGGCAGCAGCTTAAAGGAAGCAGAAGCCAGAGTATGGGCTAGGGAGAGAAGGGAGGAAGTACAGCAGGAGCCAGCCTGGGCAAAGGACTGAGCTAGTCTTTGTGGTTTTGTGAGTTAAAAAATGCAAACCCTAGGAACAGAGTGAACTTGGACATCACAGACCATGCTTACAAAGGAAATTGAGAAAAGCCTCCTGAACCTAAAAAACAACCAAAAAAAGGAAAAATCTGGAGAAACTTATAGGTCATAGTGGTTTTAAGGGTAGCTTCTATTCATTGGAAAAGAAAAAGGGTAGCACAAGCCTGCTTTGCAATAGGACAAGCATTACATGCTAGAAACAGCACTGATTTATGTCTTCCAATTTTGTATTCTGAGGAACACTTTTATCAGAATTATGAAAAACATATCTACACTAAAGTGGGCAGTCAAACTTCAGAGAATTTGCTGAAGCACTGCAGTATTTCAGCAGTCAGTATAGGACACCAATAGTAAGCAGAGGTTTAATTCATACAGAGGTGACTGTGGATACCACCACCAAATTGATCAGAAAATGCTGATAAATAAAACTGATAAAACAATAATTTCACTAAGATTGGCAATGAACAAAAGTATATAAGTATATGTAATAATCAATTTATGTAATTTATGGATTTTAGCCATTGGCACCAATCTGGTAAAGCTTAGTGTTCAGGGAGAAGTAGCTCTCCATTGAACTGTATGAACTGCTAAGAAAGTGTTTAGACTGACATTAGATACTTTGTCACTGTGGCAAGAGAACTACTTAATCTAGCATTTACATTTTTCAAACATACAGCATCAGTTACAACTACAATTTTTTTTTTTGTGCCCTAGTAATTGTGAGGTACTAATCAAAGGTGCCTTTCCTGAATAAGTAGTCAAGAACTGTCTAAAAGCAATTGGTATCGACCAACACATTCCCTTGTATACGAGGCATTGATGGGGGGAACCACATCAAACCCCATATGCTTCCTGTTGATCCTAATTGTTTCCAGAGATAGTTTTAATCGCTCCACTTTCACCTACTTCAAAGTAAAGATTCTTACATTGTTTTCGATCCCAAACAAGAGAGTACTGGGCCAAACACAGAGAGTGCTTAGCAGAAACACATGAGCTTTGAGAGAGAATTCTACTTACAAGCATCTTTGGAACAATAAGAACCAGCCCTCTTGTATTTAGATCTGAGTACTATAAGTAATAATTCATATTATCTTTTTTCTTTTATCTGTTTAATGTATCCCACATAAAAATGAGATGAAGAATATGAGAAACTGAGGTTAAACAATAAACACCTCACAGATAAACAAGAAACACCTCACAGATAAATTGACAGTTTTTTGCAGTACTCAAAGGACTTCTAAAATTTTGAAAGACAGATAGCTGATCCAAATAGCTGGAAGAAAAATAAGAAGAATTCTCTCATTGATGCAGGCATCTAAACTATAGTATATCAGCTGGAAATAAGTTTTTGGCATGACCTAAAAAAAACCTACAACTACTTCTGTGGGTCTGTTTGAACACCTTGTTGGTTTACAAAGAATTTCAATATCTAAGACCCATACACACGTGAGCACATGGGGCCTCCAAAGTAGTGTATGAGAGATTGTGGAGACCAAGAAAAACACTAAGCCAGGCATGCTAAATGTAGAACTGCTACACTGACACTCCTAAGGGCATCCAGTGTCTAACAGTCTCATCATTTATTGTACCTTATCCAGCACTGCAGTTGCTGGCATTTAAGCTCTGAACCTAGTTTGGTTTGTACTGAAGGTAATTATTTTTGGATTTTATTAGCTCATTAATTTGAGCACCATTTGCCTGGATAAGGTCTTTTGTTTCACCCTAACTCCTCAAATATCATTCTGAAGCACTAACAATGCACTAACTTACCCATCATGTTATATAGGCTCTGTGGTGCAAACTGCCTCGGCATTTTCTGTATTGCTTCTTTGTAAACTGTAAGGGCCTCCTGAAAAGAAACACACAGTGGGAAAACACCAACTTAAAAAGCATCCTTTCATATATAATGTAAAACCAAACTATCTTCCTTCCCCAAATGAAAGATGCAGGGAAAACATATCAGCATCAAAAATGCCACATAAAGTACAAAATTTCTCCTTTTTTTACCTGAATTTTACCAAATTCAGTGAGGCTTATAGACAAGAGATCATGCTAGTTCCAACATGGCAACTTTTTTACAGGTAAAACTAAGAAGGACTTTTTTTTATACCTCTTAATGACTGATGAGTTTATAAACATAAAATTCAATAGGCTAGGGAAGAATATGGGGTATTATTGATCTGCAGACAAAGGACATTCCGATGATTAACTACGCTAAGTGACCTAAAAATAAAGAAATCATTGTCTACTGCCAAATAATAACAGAGCATAACCCTTGCAACTGAAGCCTGCTCCACAGAACAGATGAGATGCACTGTGAAGTCAAGAAACCCAAAACTGGAATCCCTTTTCAAATATGCTGTTCCTTGAATTACCATTCATTCCCCACTTTGGATGCTGGCTGGTCAGTCTGTTAGCTCTGCATCAAACACTCACAGCTTACAAAGGCTGCAAGAAAGCAGCCAGGAAGAAATCTGAAGTTTTATATTCCTGAAAGCTCTTGTATCTTGCAGGTATTGAACTTCAACTCTACACTCTATCAGCTGTGCAGACAACATGCTGCTGGTCTCTTCTCTGTATAGATGCATTAGCTGTCTGTATTTTAACCAATTAGTAACTCCATCTGACAGAGCTGGATGCAGCAGACAGATGACAGGGAATCTGTCCAGCTTCTGCATGCCTGATCTTAAACAGCTGACATAACTGTCATGGTCAAGAACACTTTACATGGATCAAAACCACTCACAACTCCTGTTCTGAAGTATGCCTGACAATGCCAAGAGAGAATTAATTTCTTTCAAGTACTGCTAAAGGTCAAACCTCAAGTGAATGTCCAGCTTCAGTTAAGTTCATCAGGGAAAATGGAGAGGAATCACAACAGTCACAGTTGCATGTCTAAATGAGATGGGATGGCTTGGGTGCAGTTTATTGTTACATTAAAAATATCCAACCCACTTTAGCACTGAGGTCAAGTTATCTGAAAATAACACACAGTGGGATGTTTTTAATCACTGTTAAATTATTTCAACTCAGTCTTTTTTTTTGGAGACTTAAATGCAAGCATAATTGCACTTTTCCAGCTAAAGATGGACTTACTATGTTTTGAATTATAATGCCTCTACACTTTAGGTCGACTGGCCTTTAATCAGGTTTAATCAGGCTTTATCCTTGCATACCAGCTACGGGTACAAAGCCAAAACCAATGAACTAACACATATCAGATGTGAGCACTGCTAATGTTGACTCTGATGTGAGAACATCACACTGTTAATTAATAGCATTACACCAGTGGCTGTAGAGAACAAATATTCTCTGTAGACAATGCTAATTTTGATCTGGTGAAATTCAACTAATTCATGTATGTGATATATTTTGAAAGTCTCAGTAGAAGCAGTATGTATTATTTGTATATCAAAGTTTTATAAATGTATTATATACAAATCTGGAGTCTTACCTCATAGTGTCCTTGTTCATGAAAAAGTTTTCCTAAGTTATAGAGACAGCTGGTAACAGAGCTTTTGTGAGCATGAGGATCTTTCAGATTTTCATCAGGGATCTCTGAACACCTCACAAAAGTCCTCCTGGCTTCCTCTGTCTTCCCTTGGTTCATCAGGATGATACCAGTATTTAAATAAGCAGCTGTGAAGAGGGAAAAATGCTATATTTAAATGGAGTTCTATTATGCTTTATCTACTGCTTTAATTCTAAGTAGTACCTGGTAGAGATCCCGTGGTTATCTAATTTGGTTTTTGAATAACACAGATCACTCATTGGTGTGAGTGTGAATATGTAACATTTGTGAATATATAAAAGGTAGAAGCTCAGAGACAAGGAAAGAAGAAGGTGACTATAAAGTAAGGAGGTAAGGAATCACTGGTTAGGCAGAGTGTTCCATTTAGTTCCTCTTTTTAGGACTGTATAAAGCATATAGCACCACGGTTTGAAGTGTTACAAAAAATACACATATACATAAAAACATATATACATACAGAGACGATTAATACCGAAGGTACAAAATTCTCAGCCATCTCAAATAGCACCACTTAATTTTGGAATCTGTTACTGGCAACACCTGAACATTATTCACCATTTTTCCCCGGCAAGAAAGAAAAAATATTTATGTTATTCACTCATATAAATATCAGGGACTGGCTGTAAGAAACAGAAAACAGGAGCCTGAAACTTGGGCAGTAGTATCTCTGACTCAACACCCCAGATCAGAAGCATTTTAAGTTCTAGTAGTGCTGCTGAGTGTTAATATAGAGTGTTAATATATCATCTGCTTCTTACTTGTACCACATTAAATATAGTTGTTTACTAATAAACACTTGCTATCAAGGGCACAAATTCACCTTTGGCTTTCTGACTTAAAAGCTTCTGAAAAAAAAAAGAAAGAGTTATTAAAGAGGAGGAAAATTTTCTATGAAAGCTATAGTCAATATTATACAAGCTTGTAGAGTCAAAATACTTACAAGCTAGTGTGGGTCTGCTACCAATTGCCAGTTTATAGTAATGCAATGCCTCTGAAAACCTGCTGTTTTCCTGAAGTAGTAATCCTCTGTATAAGGGGGAAAAAAGGAAAAAAAAAAGAAAAAGAAAAGAGTGAGTGAGGTGTGAGGTTACTACAAAGAGTAACTTGAAAACAAATACTGAAAACAAAACTTGGGTAACAAAGTAAAATATGCTTACTGGTCTTTCAGAGATACAAGCACTCACTAACAGTTCTGTGTGAGACTTATTCCATGTATAAAGATGAATTCCTAGACACCAAGTGCATCCATATGGCTTTAACAAAGCAGATGTTAAACAGAATAATTTTGGCTTTCTTGGAAGCCAGGAGATTCATTTACTCAGTCGAGAAAATGTTAGCCTGCAAGACTTTTTAAAGTGGATACAATATGGTGGAGGTATTTGTAAGTCATTAATGATTAGTCAGGCATCTTGTCTTGACCTGAAATAAGCAGTTCTTTTCCAAATGCATGATACAGTTAAGCACCCAGCCCTTCATTGCTACGTTAAGGACTCCCCTTGTTGAGCAATTTCACTAGATTATTCACTATACAGCTCAGCACCTGCAATAGTTCTGTTTTTTCCTGTCTTCTTTATACTCTGAACAAATTTACTAACTGAAGAAGTATTAAAAATTATACTGAATATTTCCAGTTTCATAATAGATAGGCTTTAATTTAGCTTTTTAAGATAAACATCCTTGTGAATTATGATTTATACCAGCTACCCACAAATTTCTGAGAAGTTGTCTGGACATCAATGACATGAATGAACACTGTATGCTTAAATGAAGGCCCAAAGCATTACAGTTTTCCAAAGTTTCAGAAGACTGAAAAAGAGCATATACAAATATATTAAAACCAGAATTATTTAAAAATCAGTCATTTCGGAATGGAGACTCAGACATCAGTATCCAGGGGTAAACATCCCTTGTCATATAACTCAAAATATCCAGGAAAACACAGCTTAACACAGCTCTTCCTCTAAGGTGGAAGTGGAACCATATTTATTTGTAGTTTCCCTAAGCTACAGCAATTTTCTTTTCTTCCTCTATGCTTTTATCTGCTGATAGCTCTTTGAACTGCAAAGAGCTTGGAATTATTTTATCCCCAGTCTCAAATCAGAGATTTTATTTCCCTTTAACATCTCAGGAAAACTTTTTTAATTAAACCAGTGAACTTCAAGGGATGAAAAGAGAAGGGAGCTTAAGTAGCCACCATCTATGTTGTTTCCTTCTTGTCACTGGGTTAGGATTTAACAGAATTGAGAAATATATCCTCTTTTTCTTCTATACTTCCTTTTCTTCTATACTGTCCTATCAGTATCACAAGAGCTCACTTTGAAACTGTTTCCCAATTAACTTCAGATTAGGTAGCAAGTAATTTTTAATATTAACAGAAGTTACATGTAGTAGGTACTTGCAGTAAAGTAAGAAATGAAGGAATATATTCAGGATATTTTTTGGAATGATACCAATGTTTGTAACTACTGTCAAGTATCTTGCAAATGGCAAGAGGTATAATCATCAGAACAGAAAAAACATTTTCTGAATTTTCTAGAAGCTGAATTTTGTTTATTATAAACATTTTTATACACTTACTTCAAGGAAGATTGATTATGGTATTTTCATCCTGTTTGCTACTGATAGCAGAAGAATTAATAGAAAAAAATGAGATGCATTGTCTGACATTTAAGCTGCTTCTTAATTTTTTAAAAAGCAAAAACATTCTCACATACAATTTTGAAACAATTTATCTAAGAAATTCCATTCTTATTTTAATTCTGGAATAAATAATGTAACATAGTGAGAGAAGTAATACAGCAATTGGTCAACTTCACCAAAACAAATTGCTTTTGTAAGTGTACAACAGTTGTGGTTTTGTGATTAAAAGAACTTTTATTTGCAATTATTACAAATTAATATTTTGCATTCACTACATGCTCTAATATTGACACTTTTGATTTATGACTTGAAACTTTGAGGCGGGTTTTTTTTTTAAACTTCTCTTCCAAAAGATGTTTTTCTTTTAAAAGCTGTTCCATTAACTGTCAGTCTGTCAGCATGTGTCTCTCTCTCCTTCTCTCTCTCATATATATAACCCAAGCAGCTCAGATGAAGAACTGAGTGCTGAATTCCACCTAATAATTAGTGTTTTATTCGTATTTGTTATGAGGTTGGGAGAAGAAAGAGAAGAATATAATCTTACCAAGGCATGAAACTGCCTTGTGAAATTGGTCCTGACTGATCACCAGTTTTCATGTAGCTTCTGGCAGTACAAACATTATTAGATTTATGAGTGTCCAGTTCTAGTTTGAGGTTAAACTAAGTCAGGAAAAAGCTGACTTCTCTAGATGCAGTGGAAGAACATCCCTGAGCTGCAGTTCACACCCTGCAGGCACTGCAGATTCCAGTATCTCAGCCTCCCCATGGCCAGGGCACTTGGCTGTATAAGCAAGCATCCACTACAGCCAGGAGCAGATCTGTTCCTGAAATGCCTTTAGTTTCTCTGCTTGAATGTCAAATGATAACTCCTCCTCAGAGATTTTTGGCAAAGGGGAGAAGGAGCAGAAAGACAACAAAGACATCAATACAGTGAGAAGCATTGGACATAAGCCAGAGGTGGAGCAGAGCAGCTGAGACATGTTGAGTATGTACCTAACTTTTGTGGTTACAAAGACAGAAAGCCTTCCTTTTTCCTTATTCAAGGATGAACAAAAGAAAAGGACATCCTTGAAGTAAGCATACTTGATTCAAAAGAGTAAGTTCCAGCGATAAACTTGGATGAAGACCTTAAAGCCTTTCTGGCCCCTTTAACTTTCTACAGTTACTAAAAATGCCAAATTAACTGAATAAAAAAGCCTAACCACCAAAATGCCCCCACAAAAAAAAAAAAAAGTTGATACTTCCAAAACTTCTTATTCTCTTCAGCTCACCTTCCCAGTTGTAAGGCAGACAAATGAAGATGTTAAATGAAATATGCAAGTTCTGTGCAAAGACAGTTCACTGACAGAACTGGAAAAATGTGGCTTCTATAGTTCAGTAAGACAAGTACTGGGAAAGAATAAGTGAACATGAGGAAGATGATCTTCACTGCGCAGGTGACCACACACCAGAGCAGATTGTTCACAGAGGTTGTGGAGTCTCCTTCACTGGAGATATTTAGAAATTGTATGGACACAACCCTGTGCCAGGTGCGTTGGGATGACCCTGCTTGAACAGGGAGGTTGGACCAGATGACCCACTGTGGTCCCTTCCAATATTACACACTCTTTGATTCTATGAAATACATAAAGATAAAAGTATTTGGAAAAGAAAAAGCTACTTAAAAAGTAGGACACACAGTGGACAGCTTTAAACTGTTCATGAATTAATTTAGGATTAATTAGGAGATAAGTTCTAACTATAATAAATAGCAAGATTCTGGAACTTTACAACAGGATTTTTTTTTTTTTTGCTTGCATTACTTCCAGATACTTTTACACGGAGTATTAATCATTTATGAAATGAAGGATATGTGCTGACTGCTTGCAGGTGTAGCAAACTTCTCCAAGTGACTTAGGAAGTGGCTAAGAATCCTGTTTTTAAAATAGGAGGAAAAATAAAAGAAAAAAATGAAGACCACATTCTGACTATCTGGAAATGATGCACATCATTTCTGTAGACAGAATTGCTCATTTAGTTGATGCAGGAACACACCTCCCCCCAAATGAATTGTTTGCAACCTTCCTGAATTCTTTAGCTGCCAACTTTTACCTATCTTGCTTCACCAACAATCAAAAATCTTCCTGTCTTCCTAATCTGCTTTGGCTTTGACCAAAAGTCACTAAATATTAATGGCCCAAAAATGTTTTCAGAGACCAGAAGGCAGTCACAGAATATAAATAAGCAGTAGATGGCCTATGTTCTTTTACAAGTTTCATAAGAATTTCTTCCTGTTGGTAGTCCTACTCTAGTCAGCTGGTCTGCTTATAAAGCAAACTACTCAGTGACTAAAACTGGCATAAATTGGCCAAGTACGATACACAGAAACGGCAACTGTCAAAGTAAACGTGTTAGTGAAATATTTATAACATTTTCAACCCAGGTACAACACTGAAACAGTTTAATCAATTTTGTTTACTGGTTTATAACAACTAATACAGGGCCTGTTAGCTATTACTTTGCCATGACTGCAGTCCTTCTGTGCCTCAAGCTACATTCATCCCATTGATTTCAGGTGGGATTATCTACAAAAGACTATATCTACCTAAATGCTGCACTGGCAAACAAAGAAAGGAATGAAAGAAAATCCTCTGTTATTCCCTACACAGATGTGTCTCCCATCACACAGCAAGAGTGGATCTACTTTGCCTAAGGCAACTCTTTCACTGTCATTTGCAAGACTAGTGGGTAGAAAGGTAGGTATGGATGCTACCACAAAACATATTTTTTTAATCAATAAGAACCCAAACACACAGAGAATAACCATTTCCTTTGCAGAACTCACTAAGTAATCTATCACTCCCCTACTAAAAAAGCCCCCAAAAACAAAACTAAACAATCACCACCAAAACAACCTCTAATCTTTCAGACAGCACAGTAAAACTGTTATGTTCTCCCAGATCTGGGGCAGACCTTCCCAAATGCAATGCAAATTGGTCAGCAAATATTGTCCCATTTTTTTTCTGTTACTGGTACAGTTTGGTTGGGAATACTACCCTTTCAGGACAGCATCAACTTGCACAACCCCTATTACCTTGACAGAGGGAGGGCCACTATGAGGAAGAGGAATAGCACTGCTCCTGTGTTTCTCACTCCCCTGGACAATGGGCCATGCTGTGCTGTGGCTGCAGTCCTCAAACCAGATGCCCATTCCCTTTCATGCACCCCAGCAGTCAAAATAGGCAGAGAGCTGAACAGAACTTCCTCCAAGAGGGGTCTTTTTTGAAACTGAATGGCAGACACAAACCATTATTTTCCTAATTTTATAAAATGGTGGAAGTTTATGTAAGGACTGTAAGTGCCCACCATTTGAAATATTGAGACATGTAATAGGTCACTGAATGCCTTTCACCTCTCAATAGAACTTTGAAAACTATCTGTACTTCATATAGGCCCTACATTGCACAGCAGGAAACCACCAGTCACCTAAGTGACCTTTGGGTGCTACATCAAGAGCCAGTCTGATAACACAGCAAGATTTTTTCAAGACATTTTTGGTTACAGCAAGATGCAAATTTTAGCTGCTGTCTTTGACAGAGGAAGAACTAGCCAGCAAAGCAGAATTAATTCCAAACAGGTTTGCAACCAGTTTGCATTCATAGCTGAGAAAAACAATAATCAAGTACTTAGACACCAGATGACACATCCTCTCTGCTTTTTAACTCAACATCCTGAATGATAAAACCTTCTGGTCTATCAAGGAAGAGGAACCATAACCTTGACCTGTTTCCTACTAGGTGGTTGCTGCAGGAACTTTGTCTTGGAAAGGTTCAACCACAGTTCAGCACAGGTTTGTATGTCAGCCTGCTTTTAGAGTTTTTTGCCTCTGATAAGGAGTTTTCTATGCCAGTAACCCTTAAAAGGCAGGGAACACATTTTCCAACATATAGAGCCTAACAACAACAGACAAGGAGGAATTTTGCTTATATTGATTTTTCCCTAAGGATACAGAGTTCAACTTTTCCTGTAAAACACTGCAATCCTAGAATTTCTGGGATAGGTAGTCTGCAATAGCAGCTGCAATTTCTAAATGAGACATTAAAAAATTTAACATTTATTGATACAATACCCTAAGTTTTCCAATGTAAAGTTTATGGAAATTATTATTTCTAATTAAAAGAAAATAGATTATTTGAATAATGAACTTATACACACAGTCCTATATCAGTATAGGCAAAATGAGATACTTCAGGAGAGAAGCAAGGGGATAGCTGATTGCTAGAAATTGATCTTTTATAGGGCACTGTATACTCCAAAATTACAACATTTCAAGTAATAAGTATAATTTTAAAGGAATATTCAATATTTATGTCAGATTGAGAACATCCTTATAATCACATGAGAAACTCAAGTAACCTATGTTACTAATATGGATGGCAAAAGAATACTCAAAACAGAGTCAGGCCTAAAAACAAGTGAAATAATAAATACAAAATTGTCTTTTAACTGATAAACAATTTTACTTTAGACACTAACTGTAAACAATTTGAAACAACACAAAAAATCCCACAAGCTTTAGCTAACAATCATAAGGTAACAAAGACTGAAAAGCCAAAGCAAACTAAAATAGTTTGTTTTTAATCTACTGAACATTGCCTTGTTTGAAAGAATAAACTATAATTTCTCTACAGCTCTGTCCTTGGTATTTCACAGTATTATATACGGTTTTCTCAGTTAAAAAAAACAAAGAAAGGTCATTTTATGCTGATTTACTACCCTATGAAATTTAGTTGAAATCACCAGAGCTACATAGCACTGAGAACACAAAAATAAGATGTTCATAATCAGGTAAACCTTCAAATGTATATTATGTAGTTATGTATTAATGCATTTTAAATTTTTTTAAATGGCAAAAGCAGCTGTAACTCAGAGCCATAAGGTATAAGTCAAAAACCAAAAATACAGCACTGAATTCAGCCATTCATCTAGTCTGTTAAATTCTTTGGATGTTAATGTATTAGTAGTCAACTTCTAAACTAACCTCACATTTCAATTTATTGAAAAAGAAGGAAAGAGATCAAGAGCTTCTGCTTATGTAGCTTCTTTCTTTGATTGTTATCCATTAAAATTGTGAGTTAAACCTTAATAATTTGTTGTTCAGCAGAGAGCACTTGGATTTGTTACTGCTATGAGTGAACACTGAGCTGCACATGCCAATTAATTTGCATCAAATACCAAGGCATAGGTGCTTAGAAACAATAATGACCATGTGAAACACATACAGTGCTTCTAAATAACTATAAAGATACTTTTTTTCCTGAAGTTCTATGGAGTGATTATTTTAGTTTCAAAGGCACATACTGAAAACCAGAAACAGCAAAACTGACTGGCCTCTTGTAAGCACATATAAGACACATTTTCCATTAGAGAGGATTTTTGTAAAAGGCTCCCACAGAACTCCATGTCAAGGATGGGTCTAACTTGCAAAGGAGCTCTTGAGAGTTTGTGCTTAAAAGAATTGATTCATTTGTGTACTATCAAAGGACACTTCATTTACCATCTATTTTTCATGGTGGATATTGAAGCATCCAACACTGTCAAAGCCTACAAAAAGAAAAACATGATGCAAGCTTTTTAAACTACTGTTAAATAATTGAAGGTTTTGTAAAGCTTGTTTTAAAAATAAGGTATTCTATTGTATTCAATGTAGTAGTAGAAAGGCTAAGAATCAAACTTCATTTCTTATGCCCTATATATTCCAACCATCATTTTAGTTAAAATCCTTCCACAAAAATTCAGTAGAATTTCAAAAACTCCTCTGTTCAAAAACAGAGATGAAGGTTTATAGACATATATTTTGTGGATCAATGGAAAACTGGAAGACTAGCAGCTTATTCTGAGAACAGTGAAAAGACTGAAGTCTGATTTCTTTTATGTCCCTGTCTTTATCATCCAGCCCCCTTTCCTCTTCTTACCCTGGTATTAACTTCAGCTTCTCTCTACAACACAGTAAGAGACAAAAGTACTGTACAGGCATACAAAAAATTTAATAGTTATAATATTCACCTTCAAAACAAATAGCATATAGGAAATATACATGTATCAATCTTGTCACTTTCTTTCCTACAATCTTCCACTGTCTTCAGAAGTTATTTTTTAACTGTGTGCAGAAGTTTCCTCTAAAAATTATGTTTTTCATACTCCTCATTGCCTAACAGAGAGGGAAATTCTGCACGTACATGTATTTGTGTAACTAAATGATTAGTAAAAAAACACATATTATGAAATACAGATTTCATTCTGGAAAATAAATTCTATCATTAAATTATTTTGAGTTTCATCAATTCATTTGCTTATCTGCAAGGCAAATTAATGAAATGGTCAACTTCTTCCTTTTTAAACAAGGAAAAAATTAGTAAAGAATACTATTATGATAAACTTCATTTTCACATATTATAAGCACTCATTTTAAACTATACTTACAGGCAGAACATTATTTTTTAATTGACTGGTTTATCTGAAGAGACTTACTATTTGAATGCAGCTTTTGCACATTTTGTGTATCCTACAGACACACTTTTCTGCTGCACACAGGATATTATCTTCCAACAGCTACCTATGGAAAGGCAGTCACAGGATTCTGTCATGAAACAAGAGCATATGGCTGCTGGAGGTGACCAGCCTGTCATGCAGCAGAGCTCTGCTCCGAGGGCTTGTGCTGGCTTGGTCATGGCAGGAGTGGGAGGAAGGGCAGCAGGACAAGCAGGGTGCCCAGCTGGGACAGTTGGGAATCAGTCCTTCCCCATGGACACACGGCACCATCCCACCTCAGTGCAAAGCTTGGCACGGCGCTCGCTTCCATCTTCATGATTTGGTACATTAATGAGATGGGAAATCTTTTCCCCTGATGAATAATTATTTTGATGCTCATGTTATTTATCCTCTTACTCACCTACAACAGGGTTCAAGTAATTAAACTTTATGTAACCTATGCTGCTCTGAAGTCAGTCACAGGAGAAAAGTAATTTGCTGTTTTAACATTTCAGACCTCTAGAGCTAACAGAAAGGTATTTGTCTATGCTTAGAAATGCTGACACCCACTCTGCTCACCAAGTGTTATTCAGACTTGAAAAAGAAGTCTAAATAACACCTCACTATTTAATTGAGTCTCAAACAGATGGAGGGCTACAGCTCACAACTCGTGTATTGGTACTTGTTAAGTGTAGGGGTTTTTTTCTTCTTTTAGAGCAAACAGATTTGTAAGTTTACCTTGCCCATACCCATTACATGAATACACCATAATGTTGATCAAGAAAGAATCCTGTCCACCCCACAGTTTAAGGAGCACAATTAATGAAATGACTATTAGAAAGCAACAAAAACCATCATCTCCATTTCCAGCAAGTAAATCAGTAGGTCTCTTCACAACAGGTTTCAAAGACAATTCAACCCCAGGAAAGCCACACATACTTACAAATTATAAAGCATATCAGCCATGTTGCTGCGGTAGTACAAGGCATTTCTATAGGCGCTTTCAGCTTCAGAAATCTTGCTCTGGCTCTTGAGAACATTTCCAAGGTTACCCCATGCTGTCAAGAGGAGAAAACAGTATTCATAAAGGGCTACAATCCAATTACACATGACAGAGTATGCAAGTATCAGGAAGTTTCTTAGGGAGACAAACCCCACAAAGGAACTATTTTTATGGAACAGGAGGTGAGGTTGGTTATTTTTTCCCCCAGCCCTCTGGTTCTCTACATCTTACTGTGAGACTCACATTTCATAGAGGTGATTTACATGCACTCTGAATGCATACAGCTTTCAGCTGGGAAAAGGAAGTTTTTTACAAAAATATGTCTCTAGAAATTACTGTAACCAAGGGAAAGGACCATTTTATTTCATACCACCTATAAATAAAAATCTTCAGGGTCAAATGTGGAACTGAGGCATCTTTCTAGTTTTAACTTTTTTTTGTTAAGCCTGTTGACTCTAAACGGCAAAAAAGTTTTCCAGAGTAGACATGGTCCCCAGTTAAGTATTAAAATTTGACATATGACACAGGAATTGAAAGAACAGTTAGGTAAGTAACTAAGATTAAAAATATGCCATATGGATATAAACATACTACACAGATCACTAAAATCCATTTTTTTTCTACCAGAAAAACATTTGGTCCCTTTCCATACAATTTATTATGTTACACAACATGCTTTTATAGCCCATCTATAAAGGACTTTAGGTAAAAAAATATTTAAAGCTCCACATGTGTTCCCTTTGCAGTTTTGTTGAGTGGCACAAAAGCTACTTAAAAAAGGAATTGGAACTAACATTTTATGAAAACACAACCTTTGCTACTCAGAATTGAGGAAGCTAATTTAACTGGCACTACAATTACAGTGTGTGTGAACATTAAAAAAAACCCACATTATGCTTATAAATGCAAAGCTGTTTCATAAAAAAAGTTATACTTTCACCCTTTTTTAAATGAAAGAAACCAATGGAAAGATGATGTGTGTCCCTTCCACCAAACACAATATATCAGAATATTCTCTCCTCCAGATGCACTTAAACATCAGCTTAAGTAGCAACTAACTCTGATACTTCAGTTGAGCCCTTTTCTTTTTTCAAGAATTTGCATCACTTCTGACTAATGCAAAATTTCAAGGTAGTTTTAATGTAACACTGCTATGTAGGTTGATAATTGACATAGGCATTTTTTTCCTTAGAAATTGCATCACTTCCAAGCTGCTGTGGTTTGCTGCAGAATCACCCCACCACAGGGATGGAAACAGCAGCAAACACAGAATTTCCTCTGAGCAGAATAAACTAGTCATTGCTGGGAAAAAAAATAATAAATCTATTTAGAATTCATAAAAACCATGTCATTCAACTGAGCACATCATATTCTGTAAATTAAAGAAAGAAAATATGTGCAATATTTCCATAAGAAAATAGGCTATCACTTCTGTGAGTCAATTCTTTTTAGCCTAGCATTTAATGAGAAATAATTTATCAATATTTATTTATCAATAAATCAACAAAAGTTACAAAATATTTCATCATTTTGAAATATAGCTGCTAAAACTATTCTCAGGTTCACTCAACTTTTACACTTGCCTAGCAAATGTGCAGAATTCTGAAATTTCCCCATTTTTTTACAGCTACTCTTCCCTTTTTACACAGAGAAAACAGTCTGGAAGTACCAATGAAACTGACTAGCCAGTCTATATGCATTAACCCTTGGAAGAAAAACACAGACTTATATATTATTTTTAAAATTAATTTGTGAAGATATACCCTTATTTTGCTTCTGCAGTAAAGGAGCATCCAGTTTCCCATAACTGCATGTTCCATATAATCTATAGGGAGTTTTGTTTTCATTCTAATCTCCCATAACAGAGCATTATATCAAATGACCATTTGATCTATTGATAACAATCTCCTGCCATGTAGTTATTTACTCCCAACCATTCTGAAGCTCAGTAAATACAAGTATGCACAAAAGGATGATTCAGTTCATCTCTTCACCTGTTAGACTGGAAAGACACTGTTAACACTGTTCAGTGTAATAGCTTCTTCTCTACAATTCATTTCACGCCATGGGTTCTAACAGTTATCTGAGTTAATTTTTAAGACAATATTTTTAAGACAACATCCTTTTTAAGACAATATTTTAATGTACATTTTTCAAAATAATCTGTATCAAGTTTTTAATATAAATCAATATTAACCTATACTATTTAATTTTAAATTTATTCAATTAGACTTTTGTCTAAACTTGTAAAACTGTGAATAATTAACCTTATGTGATGCACTAGAAGAAGTGGCAATAATAGAAAATAGCAAACATAAAACAAGATAATCTGACAATTTATCATTAATGGAAACATGAAAACCAAGGTCTTTTCATTTATCCAAACCAGATAAATTTGATAGAACAAATTCATTACTATTTAAATACAGAACTAGTTAGAAGAATGATCTGTCTCTAGCTGGTGATGAAGCTGCATTGAACATGTGTAGAGATGAGATTCATACACCATAGAAATTATGAACAGTTAATATCTGCAGCAACCACGTCCTCTCGGGTTTTGGTATATAAGCAAGAGTAAAAGAGGATGGAGTACATACATGGAGAAGAGGCTACATGAGCTACTCAAGGAACTTCACTCCTGCTTTGTCTTAACTAATGCAACTAACCTTCAGAGGGAAAAAAGGACTTCAATTATTAGCTTCCATATCTTAAAACTTTTTATTCAAAACTGGAATAGCATTATTTCAACTCTAGGCAGATTCAGAAACAGAAGCACAGTTATATCTAAATGAATCTACATTCCTGTTAAAAGCCCACCCTATGATTCCAACTAAATTCTAGCACTCAACTATTTTCCATTTGTACATAGAAAGAAAAATAAACAAATATTTTTAAAAGAAAAAGAAACTAGGTCAGTAATCCTGGAATTTAGAATGGACGTTTATTCCAATTATTCTTTATAAACATTTTTCACATAATATCTACATTAGCTAAGCTGCAAAAGTCAACATTTGACATTCAGAAAATACTAAGGCATACATGTATATGCCACATTTTAATCTTTAATTCAAAATTCAAATTTCCCCATATTGAAGACCCTATTCAGCATAAGAGAAAAAGGAAGCTGTGAATGAAAGAGCTTTGCAATATTTCCTCTTTGCCTGCAGCTTAATTCCCTGTCCATGAACAATGAGACCAGAACAGACCCAGGTCTTTAAGAAATAATATTCCATCATAGCATGGGAACAAATGTAACTTTCACATCTCACCTACAAAACAGTCTATTCAAAGTTTACTTAATTGCTTAATTTTTCATAGATCATACTCAATATTTATGGGCATATTAAAAATTAAATCTATTTAATTACCTTTATTGTTAGTCAAGTATAAACTGAAGAATCTCCTAATGCTTGAGAACTCCTATGTTATTTACATGTCTTTGCAGGAAAATGAAACTTTTTAAAGGGATTTTGTTCTTCTGTTTGTTGTCTGGGGTTTTTAAAAAAAAACAGCAGAAGAAATTATGCAGCACTAAGTAGGAAAATTAACAGTTGTTTAAGTGTTATGATTTTGGCCATATCAAACTAGACCTCTATTAAACTTTAAAGATTGCATTTACGCCACCTTGCAGTGAGAGTAGGTCAAGTTCTCAGGCATTCTATTGCTTTCAAAATGAAAATGAATATAAAAAAATATTAGTTTCACATTCAACATGCTTAACTTCTCAACTATCTCAATGAAACTGACAATTAAGATTTAACAAGACTGAAAAATACCCAGCTGGTATATTAAACCTTCTCCAAGCACTTTGATGCTGTAAGAGTGCAAGACCAACAGCAAAACAAGGACAACGTTGTCTAATCTAATCTGCCTGGATTTAAGAAGCACATTTTCTAAAGAAAACTAGTAAACTTTCAGCTTTCAACTGAACTATGAAAACAAGTGAGAAACAGAAATTAGTGTCTACAAACGTCTTCATTTAAATAAAACATTCCCTTTCTACTGAACCAAAGATCATGCTGTTATTCAGTGAAATTAAGATAATAAAGGAACAAAGTGTCCTAGAAGAGCAGTCAGTTGGGTTAAAAGCATGCATGGTAATTTCTTGATTCAGAAGTTTGCTTTAAATTTAAAAAAAAAATTAACATCGCAAATCATTAACAAAGATAACCCAAAGTATTAAATTCTGATTCCCACCTGGCACCCCTATATAATCCATGAAAAATTAGGTAATACTGAAATCTATTTGTAAACTGCCATTTTATTTATGTATCTGTTGTTCAAACACTTCTGAAACACGAAGAGGAAAAAATCCAACTACAATTGCCTAATAAATCACTCAAATACATCCTGGTAAACATTTTAAAATAACATAGAGGGAAAAGGAAAATTCTGCCTTTCCTTGTATATTATGAAAACATACTTGAAAACTAATGGAAAAAAATGTAAGACTTAAAAAATTAATATGTGACATTCACTATTCACATGAAATTGCTGAGGTTTGGTAATATTGTTCTCACCTTATCCCATCAAACTTACACAAGTTATTCCACAAATTGTTGAATGCATTAAGGAGCGTGAACTAGATTATTATTTGAGTAAAACAAACTACTTGAACAAAACCTGAAGTATTTAGGGAACAGCTCAGTAATTTGTAATCAGCTTGTCAGCAGTTCTAAACTAGAACCTTTAGCTCACAGAAAAATGCACATCAAGCCAAGAAAACCTCTATGCAGCTTTACAGATATTTGTGTATTATTTATCATTCTTTAGCTTGTGAAATTAGAAACAGCAGTTCAAGTTTGCATTCCCTCTGTTTAAAATCGGTCCACATTTCTTCTGACTTGTTTATGAAAAAGAAGTGAATTACAATTAGAATCTCAATTTTTTTCTTCAATAGTGTTTAAGGATGAAGCGATGCTAGTCCCAAAAGAAAAACCTTAACTTTTTTCTTCAAGAGGGTAACAGTTTCACCAACAGAGAAGTGACAGGCTTCCCCAAGAAAACCTCTGAAAGTTCAACTGCAGACTCATAAAAACATAATGAAAAGAGTTC